CCCGTCGGCCGCGCCGCCCCGCGGCCCTCCACGCCGCGTGCCGCGCCGGCCGCCGCCCCGTCGGCCGCGCCTCCCCGCGGCCCTCCGCGCCGCGTGCCGCGCCGGCCGCCGCCCCGCCGCGCGGCCCCGCGCGCCGCCGCGCCGGCTGCCGCCACGTCGGCCGCGCCGCCCGCCGCCCGGCCCGCCCGATCCAAAAAGAAGAGAGGAAGGAAGAAAGAGCAGGGAAGGAAGAAAGAGATAAGGCAGGAGTTAGAGAGGAAGAAAGAAAGAGAGAGTTTGTTGTGTGGACGAGAAAAGAGGATAAGTAATAGGGATTATATAGTACGTGTTGATTTTTATTCCCGGTTTGTAACACCAACCGGGACTAAAAATTCTATCTTTAGTTCCGGTTGGTGTTACAAACCGGGACTAAAGATCCTAAACGCCTGACACGGTCTGACATGGAACCAACCGGGACTAAAAATCATCTTTAGTCCCGGTTGGTACCAACCGGGACTAAAGATGATTTTTAGTCCCGGTTGGTCATACAAACCGGGAATAAAGATCATCTAGTCCTGTTGTTCTTATAAACCGGGACTAAAAATCGTTTTTAGTCCCGGTTTTAAATGGAACCGGGACTATTGTAGATTTGGGTCGACCGATCAAAGATGGTTTCTCCACCAGTGGATGTGGCAACTCGTGCAGCCTGTTTACAACACCTTATTATGCTCGTTCTTAAAACGCGCCCTTCATCTCAGCCTACTCACCTTTCCAAAAGTGGCTTTGGTCCATCTTGACTAAATGGCTGACCACATGTCATCTATGCACATAATCGCAAAAAAAAATGTCATCTATGCACATCATAAATTGGTAGGTTGTCATTATCTTGTGCTTGTTCTTCCTCCTGTAGGGGCGTAATCTAGTCGGATTTGGTTGGATACTCTCTTCATGCATCATGTGCTTTCTTTGGAGTGAGAAAGTGCATGATATTCAATCACTAATCAGGACATGTGCAGAATGCGTAGAGTTGAGAGAGACGTCTGAGTAGAAAGGACCGCCCGATTTTTTTTCAGCCGGCAGCAGTCATTCTTCGAAAGTTACTTCATCCATCTCTAAATAACTATAAGTGTTTTAGCTAATATAAATATATTATGCAAATGAATAAAAACTACTTATCGTTTATTAATACGTACAGAAAACGAGAAAAAAGAAACGATGAGAAGAGATTAATTATATTCATTCAGGACTAGTAGATCACTCTACCACCAAGAATCTCTTTTTAGAACAAAATTTTACTTTATTTATAGAGTGAGTAAACAGAGGAAGTCATAAGTGGGAAAAAATTTAAAAATATATCTCTTTTTACTGGTTTTACATGAATATACACGTTTATAAAAAATTTGCATAATTATACCGTTGTCGTAGGACGATGCCAGGAGATTCGAGACTCGCAACTGTCTCGCAGAGCGAGGGCGCGAGACCGCTCAACCTCACGTGACGAGTGCGCGAGACATGACTTCGCATCCGAACTAGCGCAATTAATAGGCTAATTAGCGTCCTTAGCAATTAATTATTTATTATTATTTCTTTAATTAGCATTATTAGTAATTAATTAAGATACTTAATCACTAGTAATCATTAATCTTTTCCCAGCGTTGTCCTTTTTTGGTTGTGCGAGACTGCCCGCACTCGCTACGTCAGAGGGACGTCCGGCAGCGCTCGACCATCCGTTCAGCATCCAACGGAGTTAAACACGCACAGCAGACAGGCTCGGCCCACGGCAAATAAAAAACGGCCCACATCTTCGCGTTGACGCCACCACGAGCCGCTGCAGTGCAGCCGGTGGTGCGCCGCGCCGCTGCCACAAGTGAGGGAGGGGAGGCCTATGCTGCCGTCGCCACACGGCCACAACCCGTGCTTCCCGATGAAGCCCCCTCTGCCACCACCCTCTTCCTTGACCCCGTCCCACGCCTCCGCGTCCTCCCTAGTGCCGTCGTGCGCGCGGGAGCCTCGCTGCACTCTGGCTACGTGGAGGTCCGACTCCAGAATCCCGTATCTAACGGCACGGCAGCATTCGCTCCACTGCAGTTCGTCCTTTGTCGTTTGTCCCAGAAGCGCATCGCCCAGTCGTTCAACCCACGTCGCTAGGGAGCTCCGGCCGCCGGAACCGCCGCTCAACCTCCTCGAGTTCCTCTCGAGCTGGTGGAGCGCGTCGGCCGTCGATGTTCCCCGTGCGTGGGGCACGCGATGTCACCTCCGGCGAGGGCAGAGTAGAACCAATCGAAGATGACGCTTTCTTTCCATTTGTTAAAGAAGACATCAAGAGAGTGTAATGTGTTAACCAAGAAAAGAAATTTGCGGCCATGAAATGAAGAGAAAACGAGTGTTTTTTTTCTTCAATTTGTTCCTCGTCTAGCTCCTCAACGGTGAGGACGGACTAGTATTCCAGCCGACCAAGCTAAAGATCACGGCGGGGTTGCTCGATCCCTACCCCTAGGACCTTGGCTTCCTGCTCTGCTTCTTGCTCCTCTGGCCAAACAGCTTGGACACAGATAAATGCTACCCAGCCATCAACTTCACAAGCGGCATACTTAACTTAACAACAGCTGAAGCCAGCGGTGCGGTGAACGACAGCGAGCGAGTAGTGCATCGGCGGCACCCATTTTTCTCTGAGCGAGTAGCGAGCGTTCGATGCTTGATGGATGGCGGATCGACGGGCTACTGCCCTCTAACTTAGTTTTTCCTCTATAAGCATAAATGTGATGTGGCAACTTGTACAGCCCATTTACATCACCTTATTATACTCGTTCTTAAAAGTCAAATTTTACTACAGGACACTGCGATTTCGTGGTTTTAGCCGTAGGATACCGCCCGAACTCACTTTTGGGGAAAGACACTCCATAAACGTGGTAATTTGCCAATAGACATCGCGCTGATTAGAACAATAATTTCCGGTTGGAGAGGAGAGAGAAAACGTGTGAAGTATCAAAAATGCCCTTAGGCCCACATGTCAGCTCTCCTATCTCTCCTCTCTCTCTATCCCCTCCTTCCAGCGTCTGATATGCGGTGTTGGGTGGTCGTGGCGGCGAAGGACGACGCCAACACCGCGGGCTTCTGCGCCTCCTCCTCCTCCTACGCCTCGAGCGCCGTCAGGATGTCGAGCCCGACCCCGCCCGCGTCACGGTGGCGCCACCCGCCACTGCGTGGCGACGGCACCGTGTGAAGTGCCGCACGGTCGAGCGGGCTTGTCGGCGACGGAAGGCCGCCGCTATCGTACACTTGCTGCTGCGGCTACCACGGCAAACAGCAGGCGACGGAGACGTCGAGTTTGCCTTCTCCACCATGGCTGAGACGCATAGAGAGAGAGGAGGAGATCCCGTTGACCTGCCGCTTGGTGGACTCCGCGGTGTTGAGGATGATGGTGGGGACATGGTCGGTGGCAGCGGAGGCGTGAAGGCGAGGGCCGGTGCCAGAACGTGCCCGCGCCATCCCGCCATCGCTGTTGCTCCGCTCTGCGCATCAGACGTTGGAAGGAGGGGATAGAGAGAGACAGGAGAGCTGACATGTGGGCCCAAGGGCATTTTTGACATTCACGTGATTTCTCTCTATTAATCGGCGCGGTGTCCATTGACAAATTACCACGTTTATAGTGTGTCTTCCCACAAAAGTAAGTTCGGGCGGTGTCCTACGGCTAAAACCACGAAATTGCAGTGTCCTGTAGCAAAATTTACCTTCTTAAAACATGCCCTTCATCTCAGCCTACTCACCTTTCCAAAAGTGGCTTTGGTCTATCTTGGCTAAATTGCTGGCACATGTCATCTATACACATCATAAGTTGGTAGATTGTCTACATCTTTTGCTTGTTCTTCCTCCTGTAGGGGCGTAATCTAGTCGGATTTGGTTGGATACTCTCTTCGTGCATCACGTGCTTTCTTTGGAGTGAGAAAGTGCATGATATTCAATCACTAATCAGTACATGTGCAGAATGCGTAGAGTTGAGAGAGACGTCTGGATAGAAAGGACCGGCCGATTTTTTTTCGACCGGCAGCAGCCATTCTTCGAAAGTTACTTCATCCATCTCTAAATAACTATAAGTGTTTTAGCTAATCTAAATATATTTTGAAAATGATTAAAAACTACTTATCGTTTATTAATACGTAACGATGAGAAGAGATTATATTCATTCAGGACTAGTAGATCACTCTACCACCAAGAATCTTTTAGAACAAATTTTTACTCTTATTTATGGAGTGAGTAAACAGAGGGAGTCAGAAGCGGGAAAAATATGAAAACATTTTTTTTACTGGTTTTACAAAAGTATACACGTTTATAAGAAATTTGCAGACGTATACCATTGTCGCAGGACAGTGCCACGAGATGCACTCGCCAGAGTCTCACAGAGCGAGGGCGCGAGACAGATCTACCTCGCATGACGAGTGCGCGAGACGCGTCTTCGCATCTGAACTAGCGCGATTAATAGAGTAATTAGCTTCATTAGAAATTAATTAATTATTGTTATTTCTTTACTTAGCATTATTAGTAATTAATCGATATAATTAATCATTTCCAAGCGGTGTCGTTGTTTGGTCCTGCCAGACCGCCCGCGCCGTCATGTTATCGTCATTTTCGTGTAACGCTTCAGCGATATCGTGTTGATTTCACACTCCCATACAGCGACGGCGGTATATTTGTACCAACAAAAATTATATCCCGGATATTTCTTAAAAAATAAATAATATATATTCAAATTTAATTCATTAGAAGTGAGCGAAACTTATTAATTGATTAGTTTTTCTGTGGTAAATTTTGTCCACTGAAATTTAAATTCTAAAGTTAACGCTCGTTCTGGTATTTACGGCTATTTTTTTAATATAAAACATAGTGTGAGGTACTTAGAAATAAGATGGGTATACGTGAGATGCTCATATCATCGTAGTAATGGTGTTTAATACGGTCAAACTCATCAAGCGCCGGTAGAAGCACTCCCTCTCAAAAAGAATAAAGAGAAAAAAAAAACGCGCGCCGTAGGAGCACCGAGCACGCGCGTCTCGCCACGCTTCGCTCAATCGCTTCGCTTTGCGCCGATATATACACCAAGCACCGGCAATCCACCGCGCAGCCACCATGCCGGCCTCCGACCCCGCCCCCGCCGCCGCCGCTGCCGCCTACGACCGCACCGCCGAGCTCCGCGCGCTCGACGCCACCCTCTCCGGCGTCCGCGGCCTCGTCGCGTCGGGCGCCACCCACCTCCCCCGCATCTTCCACAACGTCGTCCATGGTGATCAAGAACCACCGGAGGCGACGGCGCCATCGTCCGCGGCCACGACCACGACGACCGTCCCGGTGATCGACATCAGCGGGAGCCGCGCGGCCGTGGTCGACGCCGTCCGGCGGGCGGCGGCGGAGTGGGGGTTCTTCCAGGTGACGGGGCACGGGGTTCCCCTCGCCGCGATGGACGCCGCGGCGGGCGCGGCGCGCGCGTTCCACGAGTCCGGAGGCGGCGAGGGCAGCGACAAGGCGCGGCTCTACTCGCGCGAGCCCGGGAGAGCCGTCAAGTACCACTGCAACTTCGACCTGTACCAGTCGCCGGTGGCCAACTGGCGCGACACGCTCTACCTCCGCATGGCGCCCGACCCGCCGCCCGCCGCCGACTTGCCGGAGATCTGCCGGTAATAAGCCGCTTCCTCTCACAGCCTCACTGTATACTTCTTCCCTAGAATACTGTTAGATCTTGCAAGTATCACACTTCAATTAGGATATTGCTGGTAAATCTTTAGAATATGATGGCCTTTGTACGAGTTAATTAAGCTCATTAGTGAAATCTGTAGTGAGATCAGCTTGATTAGATCCAAGATCTGAGTCATTTGCTGACTAATTTAACAATCCCAGTTAAGCTTATTGTTGTTATTGGGAAGAACAACTAGTACAGCCTTTTTGTTGTTGTTGTTGCTGTGCTTTTTTGTGTGAAAGGATCATGCATCTTGAATCTGGAAATTTTCGAATAGTATCCGAAATGACAAATTAAGCTGCGTAGTAGTAGGGCAGAGAAGGAAAAGATGATTGCTGGGTCACATACTTTCATGTCCGGTGCCCCAAAAATAAGATACAAGAATAGTTTCCAGGATATCAATATAATTAGTAGCCTTTTTTATTCAAACTCACATCACATGGTTATCAAAAAAAAACTAATTGTACAATGAAATTACTCAGAGTGGGACCTCCTTTATATTATCTAAAAAAGTGAGCCCTGTGTTTATCCTGTACTGTCAGTAAAAGGGGCACTGCTTTGACGAAATCAGAATTTTACCTGTACTTATAGATGCCCCCTTTTTTTTAGCATATAGTGTTTCTAGACTATAAATTGGATTGCTGAGACTTAGTCGTACCATCAGGTCTCTTTTGGTGTTTAAGGGTAACATATGTAGCTTGCATTAATATGCAGGGATGCACTGTTTGAATATGCCAAACAAGTAAAGAATTTGGGGAACACACTGTTCGAGCTGCTCTCGGAGGGCCTTGGGCTCAAACCGAGCTACCTGACAGACATAGAATGCAACCAGGGGCAAATCATACTATGCCACTACTACCCTCCCTGCCCCCAGCCTGAGCTCGCCATCGGGACAAGCCGGCATTCGGACTCCGGCTTCCTCACCATACTTCTCCAGGATGACATTGGGGGCCTCCAGATCCTCCATGAGGACCGATGGGTCGATGTCACGCCAACTCCTGGAGCGTTCATCGTCAATGTTGCCGATCTCCTGCAGGTACCATGCTCAGAGTCAAGACCAACCAAACTTGAATTCAGAAAATAGTCTAGAAACATGTTCTTGATTGTTCGGAGCTTATTCTTTCCATTTGATCATATGTTCAGTTGATCTCCAATGACAATTACAAGAGTGTGGAGCATAGAGTGGTGGCGAAGAACACTGAACCGAGAGTCTCGATTGCCTGTTTCTTCAGCACCCATTTTCATCCGATTTCCACGAGGATGTATGGCCCGATCAAGGAGCTGTTGTCTGATGAGAACCCGCCTTTGTACAGGGAGGCACTCGTCAGAGATTACACCGCGCGTTACTACTCCGTTGGGCTAGATGGCAAGTTCAAGACTACTCTTTCTGAATTCCGGTTATAGATTGGTAAAGAAAGTCTATGATGTACCGGTGTGAATTGTATCATGTACTTGAAATCAGTAAAGATAGAGATAGGGACAGTGTGTATGACTACTCCAGAGAGATGATGTACTTGGCATGTATGCTGTAGACAACAGAATGGAAGTATAGTTTCAAACAATTACACAAGGAGCTGTGGATCCACCCTTGTTTGTAAGGAGTACTGCTATCATGCTATGTATTGTTATGCCATTGAATAAAGAGATCTCCTGAATAAAGATACTTACCCATACCTGAGCTCTTACTCAGTTTCATTTTTGTGTCAAGTGCAAAATTGGATAAATCTGTTCCTTGCTCTCAAAACCAAACAAAACCCAGACCTCCACTTTGTTTGACAGTGGTGTCAAAATTACAATCAAACAGGGATGGTGTTGCCTGATTTTGAGATCTGAAGAATGGAGTTTGCATGGTTTTGCAATTGAGGGACGAACTTGGATATGGGACTTATTTCTTATGTCCTACAAAACCACATTCTTCACTGTTGGCAATATCAAAGCATACTAACAACTTACAAAATTAAAATTGGCAATAGCATGTACTCAAATCAACTCAACAAAAAGATCTACATTAAAATAACACCGACTACTAGGTAATACTAAACCTGAATCATAGTTACTGCCCTACTTCTGAAGCTCTAACTAAACAGCAGGGAACATCAGAGAGTAGCAATTTGAAGATTTAACTGTGAATCAGACAAAACATGGCATAAGAATCTAAGAAGTGCTCACAAGATCAAGTACATTGAAGGAGCTCAACACATTCAAGACAACCTTAAACTAAAGATTACATCTGAATTATTAGTACAGTAGTAAAATGTCGAAAGAACTGAAAATTCATCACCAAATCTATCAAGCACCAGAACAGTGACTGACTGACAAACACCAATCCCAACAATTTCCTTCAGGAACTAACACAAACATTCAGGTTTTTGGAAACAAGCACTGATCATCATAACAGTAACAACATTCAGATATTCGGAGTATTCAGATATCACAGGAATCACAACAACTGATAAAATTGCATGATTGTCATTCTACATTTATTTAGACATTGAGAATATTCAGATTCGTAGGAATCACAAGAACTGACAGAAATGGATGACTATCATTCCACATTTATTCAGATATTTACAATATTCAGATATTGTAGGAATCACAAGAACTGACAAAAATTGGTGCCTGTCATTGCACAAATATTCACATAGCTCCATCAAAAAGTCAGCCAACCCAAAGTACAAACTCTATCCAAAGAACATAACGGAATCTCCAAGAAGCTACTAACACTAAGATTGGTTTCAAGAACCTAAGCAATCGACGTGATCCGTCGTGGCAACTGATCCACCGTCCGATCTCTGATCCACATCCCAGAACCGTCAGATGTCTAATACACGGTGACCCCACCGAGTTTGTTAGCTCCTAGTGTTGCATTAGTTCATTCTTGTGACTCTTGTAGTTTATCATTGTGATTATTTTTTGGTCCAGAGATGTGACTCATGTTACCCCCTGTAACAAACAGAAATTCTGAAGATTTTGGTATAGGGAATGACCATCACATGATTTTTTGGGGTGTCTATCTGTTCTTGATTTGGGCGCGTGAAGTTTCAACTTAGTTAATCTCTGTTCTGGTAGCTTTCTTGGTGCAGCCTCGCATATGTTTTTGGTTAGATTTCTTTGAGTTTCTGTTCAATTTATTCTGTCTGAATCAGTCGGACCGACATGGCCCGACCTACATCGGGCCGGGTCGGGCCCACCCACGGGCTGCACCAACGGCCCAGGCACGGCCCAATAAGACTCGGGCCGTGCCAGACCGCCCTGAAGGCACGAAAGCCCACCGTGCTCCTCCTTGGAATAAGTCTATTTGCCTCCTTCATTTCTTTGGGTCGTGTCCTATATGGCTGGAATAAGTCTATTTTACGTGCCTCATCTCTTTGGTCCATGCCTTATATGGCTGAAATAAGTTTATTTTGCCTCCTTGGTCATTGGACTGTGCTAGGTCGGGCTAGCCCACCATGTCGAGGCAGAGGCCCAAGCATGGCCCAACACCAATCGGGCTGGGCCAGCATGGCCCGACAGCAGTCGAGCCATGCCATGCTTGGGCCGGACCAAAACGCCGTGTTGTGGGCCAGGCCGTTGGGCCCCGAGCCTTTTGGCCAACAACCCAACTACTCTCGCTCACACGATACAGCCGTGGACGCCATAAGCAGGAGCACATTGCTAATGCATGCAACCACACACATGAATCCAAAGCTAACTAACTCTGCATGCATGCGTACTACCTGGACCGCTTCTTGCTCCAAACGTGCATATCCTAATACTTGGCTAACAGTGGCGGATCTATGAAGAAATAACAGGATGGTCTGAAGAAGCTAGACAAAGCTACATCCCCCATCCCATCTACTTATAGCACAAAAATTTAGAGGGGGCTTCATGGCGGCACCCATGGTCCTTACGCCAGTAGTGAAGGATTGAGACCCTGCGCCCCCCATGATAGATCCGCCCCTGTTGGCTAATCACCATGCATGGCTGCTAATCACCTACATGCATGGCTAATCTAGTCCACCTACACATGTATGAGTAGACACTCAACTCCTAGCTGTTGATCTGCCCACTCCGCACTACACATGCTTCTGCTAATCAAATTGCTATGCCATGATCCTACACATTTCCGATTATCAATAGACGGATTTGGAAGGAGAAAGTGCCCCTAAAAGTTAAAATCTTCATTTGGTAGTTGCGTCGAGGCGTATTTCTCACCAAGGACAACCATGCTAAGAGAAATTGTAAAGGTAGCAAGACATGTTGTTTTTGTCACAAGGATGAAACCATCCAACATTTGTTCTTTCAGTGTTGCTTATCTCGCTTGGTGTGGTCTGTAGTTCATTTGGCTTCTAATTTAAAACCTCCTCGCAATATTTGTCATATGTTTAGGAGTTGGCTATCTTGTGTCCCCAAAGACATGAGGAATCTGCTTTTTATGGGTGCAACAACTCTGTGTTGGTCTATTTGGCTAAGCAGGAATGGAGTAATTTTTAATAACAAGATGGTGTCTTCTCCTTTGCAGGTTATCACTTTAGTTACTCGGTGGCTCCGTACCTGGGCTATCCTCCACCAACCGGGACTGTGGGATACTATTGCGGTGGTATCACGACAGTTGGACCAGGTGGCGCAAGAGTTTTTTACCCAGGAGCATGGGTAGCTGTCTAGTCTATGGATTGATAGCCACTAAGATATATGTTTCTATCAAACTTTTGTACTTGGGAAATGTTCTGGTTGTTTCTTTCTTCTTTTTTGGCTGTGTGCATTTTATGCAGAGGCCGTGGGTGACTCAGTTTGATTTTATCATCTTGATGTAATTAACTGAGTCTAAATAAAGCTTCCATTATCTAAAATGATGCTACACATACTACACTTCTGCCTTGTCCCAAAATGCAAATACAAAAAATAACTAAAAATGTAAACAACAAGATTAATTTCCAACACTGCCCAGTTCTTGTGATTTATATTGTAAGTTTTTAGGTTGCAGCAACCTTGTTGTCATTACTACTTTTTTATGATGGTTAGTGCTTTGTCTCCAATTTGTTTGGCCTCTGATGGACTAAAAACCTTAACAATTTCAAGCAGAAGTTGACGGTTGATTTCATTGTGTTCATGAAGGTATTGTATGTTATAATGGGCTGGTATGACGTGTTCATGAAAGTTTTGGATATTTAATCAGGCAATTTGAGCTGAAACAACATATTATCTTGCTCTTGGACAAGTACACGCTAGCTGCGGTGTTCCTGAAACTCTCAAAGAGTGAAGCTGAAATCTGAAACCCTCACAGAGATCTCTCAATATGTTGTAACATTCAAATATTTTTACCAGCTCAGATTACAGTTCATGTTGTTCTTGATACTTCATACTATGAAAACATCTGACAACGTTTCAAGGATTGAGATTCTGAATATTTGGTACATTATATTACTTCTTCTGAAAACAACTGACAATGCTTTACTCCTTTTATAGTTTTCTTCAGAATGCCTTGTGTGCTTTAGCGTTTAATTATTACGACAATAGTTTCTGAACTGCCTAAATTTTGTGAAGCAAAAACTGAAATTAGGATAATGCAACTCACATACCCCTTGTTAACTAGTCCATGGATTTGTGGATTTTAAAATGAAAATCACACACAAAAGTTGCCTACTGAAACTGATTTTATATAGCAAACACCAAACAGAGAGCTTAGACAAGGCGATCTTATTAACCGCATACTTTGATCTAATTTTCTTCCACTAATGATCCTATTTAGAATCGATCATCGCTAACCCTACAACCGATGATCCATTCATGGCTTCAAGAGAACGGCGAGCGGGCTTCGAACGGAATGCTTGCCTGAGACCCACCGCAAGCTGCCCTCCGCCGCGCCATTGACGGCGGCGTTGCGGCCTCTCGTGAACTTGACGGTGAACTCCCTCCTCTGGAGCGCGGCGCCGCCGAACTCCAGCCTGTTCGGCACCACCTCGACGGCGACGCCCGGCGGCGCGACGACCTCCGCTCTGTACACCTCGAGCGGCTGCTTCCCGATGTTGGTCGCCGTGCGCCTCGCCGTGGCCACCGGCGCCGCCGCGGTGAGCGTCACCAAGAAGGACGGGTAGTTGAGGTCCTTGCCTTGGATCTTCTTGGACTTGGCGCAAGTGACGTTCTTCAGCGGCTGCGCGATCATGTCGTTGACGAAGCTGTCGTTGTAGCCGAGGCCGCAGATGTAGGGGACCAAGTCGTCGGCGGTGAGGTCGTAGACGAGCCCCGGGTCCAGCGCCTTGGTCGGGTTCACCAGCCCGGCGCCCATGGCGAAGTAGCTCGCCGGCGCGCCCGTCGACAGGTCGATCACCGGCGTGCCGTCACGGTGCGTCACGTCGGCCGTCGTCATCATCGCCGACTTGATCACGGCCGGTGACCACTCCGGGTGAGCCTTCTTTATCACGGCCGCGATCCCGGCGAGGTGCGGCGCTGACATGGACGTGCCGCTCTTCGCGCTGAAGGTGCGGGTGGGCGCCGCGGTGGCGTTCGCGCCGGGGCTCTTGTCCGGGACGGCCGCGACGATGTTCGTGCCGGGGCCGGTGATGTCCGGCTTGAGCACGCCGATGTTGGGCAGGTCGCATGGCCCTCTCGAGGAGTACTCGGCGATGGCCGGCAGCGCGGACGCGTTCAGCACAACGCCGGCGAAGCGGAGGCTCGCCATGGGGTTCGCCGTGGAGTTGATGTACGCCTTGATCGTCTCGCCGTCGGGGTAGCTGACGCGCGACAGGGGCATGAAGTTGGCGCCGAGTGGTGTTGTCGCGAGGAACTGCATCTGGGTGGAGATGGCGATCATGCCCACGCCGCCGGCGTCGGCGACCATCTTCTCGAGCATGGCTGCACTTTCGACGCGATTGCAGAGCACGATCTTGTCCCGGACGTCGACCGCCTTCAGCGCGCCGTCGGCGAACCTGCCGCCGACGTAGACGATCGGCTTGTTCTGGACGCGTTTGTACCTCCTGGAAGCCTCGCCGTAGATCACCAGCCCGTTGCCGAGCTGGACCTTGGAGATTACGCGCCGTCCCATGGTGCTCGCGCCGACGGTGAGCTGCCACGGCGCGCAGTTGGTGACTGTCTCGGCGGTCGGGCCGGCGTTCCCGGCGCTGGTGCTGAAGAAGACGCCCGCCATGACGGCGGAGAAGCTCCCGACGGCGATGAGGTCGTCGTAGAAGGGCTTCTGCTTGTTGTCGGAGGCGGAGATGGAGAGCACGTCGACGCCGTCGAGGAAGGCGCCCCTCTCCGTGGCGGTGAGCATCTCCGTGGCGGAGCACATGTCGGCGAGGCACACCTCGTACATCGCCAGGTGCGCGCGGGGCGCCATGCCGGAGGCCATCCCGAGGTTGGACCCCTCCACCATGACGTCCCTGACGAAGGCGCCCACGGCGGTGCCCGACGTGTGCGTGCCGTGGTCCTCCAGCGTCTTGGCCCGCCCGCCGATGAGCTTGTTGTTGCACGGCGCGCCGCCGAAGTCGCACTTGCCGCGCCACTTGGCCGGCGGCGGCCGCATCCCCTCGTCCCCGAACGAGACGTGGCGCGGGTCGACGCCGTTGTCGAGGACGCCGACGATGACGCCGTCGCCCATGTTCCCGGCCACGCTCCACGCCCCGGTCCGCGGGGTGCTCATGCCGAGCAGCCGCGGCGTGTCCGTGGTGGTGAGGGTGTACGTGGAGTCCGGGACGGCGTCGACGCACCACTGCAGCCTCGCCATGGCCGCCGCCTCGCGCGGCCTGAGCCGGGCGGTGAACCCGCTGACGACGTGCTGGTAGGAGTAGACCAGTCTCTCCCCGCCGATCACCGGCGCGCCCCTGTTGCCGCCGGCGCCAGCGCCGTAGAGGATCGCGTCGGTTGTGCTGTTGAGCACGGAGGCGAGCAGCGAGGCGTGCCACGCGCGCAGCGGCTCGCCGCCTTCCTTGGGGCCATTCATCCGGCAGACGACCACCAGGTACGTCCTGAGGGTGTCGTCATCGTCCGCGGCGGCGGCGGTGAGATCGAGGGCGGAGAGGATGGTGGGGAGGAGGAGGAGAAGAGGTCGGATCGGGGAGCGCATGGTGGCGGTGAAGGGGGAGAAGTGGTACGCGGTGGTGTGTAGACAGTGTAGTGTTAGTTTTAATGGCGCGCTTAAGAGGCCATGAGCGTTTGAAGCTGACCAGCATGGCAGAGGGAGTGAGGGACCTGTCTATATTTAGGGGAAAAAAATTTGGTGGAGACCGGGTGTAATCGGCCTCATCAGCAGCTGAGCAGCTCCGCACTGGATGATTGCCACGTGGACTACCAAAGAATCGAATGGATCACGTGGCTCGGCCCCAGGCGCTGTGCGAGGAGGATGCAGATGGCTTGGCTAGTTGGCTCCAGGCGCAGACGCTTTCAGCCTCGCCGACGGCTCGATTCAACGCAGACCACGTCTCCTCGCCTGGCGAGCCGCAGCGCCAGGCGATCGATCCCGCGGCGCGTTTGGCTGCTGGCTGCGACGGTACCCGTCTTCCAATTCCTGGAGGCCGCCACGGACGAAACGCAACACTTGATCGATTACGGCTTCGACGATGACCCTGCTGCCTCCAGTTCTTCTCCCTGATGCAAATCCTATGACACTTTTAATTTGCGTGTTTTCTTCTCATGCCATGGACAAGCAGCCGGCGACAGCACCTGACTCTAGAAGCCGATCGCCAAAAAAAAAAAAAACACCAGTACAAAGAGCACATCAAAAGTGATGTCAGTGGTGGAGCTCAACACATTGGCCATGGTGCTCCCATATGTCAGTCTCAGGACGTCCGCGGTGCTGGAGGAGGAGGAAGAGGACGACCCCAGGAAGACGCAGGTCGCTGCGCACCAGGCAAAGGAGACGCGATGTGCGTAAAATCGAGCCGACGGAGAGCCTGAAAGACACGGGTGCTCATGGAGCCAAGCCGCTTGTGTCCTCGTCGTGCAGTGCCGGGAGCAGGGCCGAGCTAACCGTTCAATCCCTAGGTCATCCACGTGGCATCCATCCGGAGCAGGGCTGTAGATGAGATCGGTTACACCCGGTCTCCACCAAATTTTTTCCATATTTAGAGACAGTCACAGTGAAAGCTGCATAGGTTTGGTAAAATTAGGGCATGTTCTTGATGACATTTTCAACCATATTATTATTTGGTAAAATTAATAATTACTCTCTCCGTTTTATATTATAAGATTTTCTAGCATTGCCCACATTCACATAGATATTAATGAATCTACACACATATATATGTATGTATGTATGTATATATGTATGTATGTATGTATGTATGTATGTATGTATGTATGTGGGTAATGCTAGAAAGTCTTGTAATATGAAACAGAGGTAGTATGTGGCTATGTTTAGTTTGTTACTAAATATTGGCAATGTGTATTGAATTTTGGTAACATTATTAAACCAGTTCTACCAAAATTTTGACAATGTTATTAATTTGCCAAAACTTTGGCATTGCTAAATTTTTTGATAAGGTTTATTTTGGCACCAATCTAAATAGGCCCTTAGAATGGACCTAGATGGAAGGACCGCGCACGCTTCCTAATTGACACATGTTCGATCGATGGATAGAGCATTCATTCATCTCCTAGTTTTGGTCTTTTTAAAAACTTATTTTTCAAATAAATCTTTGTAAAAACTTATTTTAGAAGTGAACCCTTTCCTCGGCATCAATGACGTTGACACCGACCACCTTACCATTCCCCTCGTAGCCAACATGTAGAGAGGTCATCACCAAACATACCTGCGACAAGGACCTATTTGTACAATAGTTTTCTTTATTTAAAAGGGCTACAAAATGTAAATATTTTGTATTACAAATAGGTCCTCCTCCTACTATCTTACAAATAAAAAATTACATTTTAACCTTTTAGAATTTTTTTTACAAATACATCCAACTAAAAGGGGATGCTATACAACAGAATCCCGTTCGGACGGAATGATACCTGTTAGGTATCAAGTCCAAATACCTCTAAGCTGTATCATGTCCTGATACCTAACCGGTATCAGGTGATACCAATCATGTACTCCGTATTAGGCGATTCCTACCAGGTATCGAGTGATACTTGAGAGACCTATAGGTATTGACTGATACCTGTTGGTAGCATATGATATCCGTTGATATCTGTAACATACCTGAATTTCAATCAAAACTAGTTGAAAGCAAAGTTCTTCAATTTTGTGAACCAAAAATTTCCATTTTTAAACCTAGGTGAAATTGATTTAACTCTTGCATGAATAAAATTGGAGGGAAAATTAAAACTTTTTCATTTATAACCTAGAACAAAAATGTAAACTTATGTGTAAGCATACATACTCGCATAAAACATGTTTTGACTTGAGTCCTTCATGTGCATTTGGATTTTCGATTTGCATTTCATAATAGGTCTCATCAATATTAACTAAGATCTAGATAAACAACTAAACCATTAGGGCCTAGTGCTAGCTAGAGGAAGTTAAAATAGAAACCATACACCTTAAAATATATCAACATGGCTAATGTCAAGCCTCACTAAACTAATTTGGCTATTCATCTGAAAGCATGTCATGAATATGGAAGTTAGTAAATAAATTAACTTATATAGAAAATATTCTATCTTAATTACCTTTATGAGCATCCTCTTAATTTAATGCTAAAGTAAACTTATGGATAAATAGGTAAGAAGCTTATGACATGTGTAAGGTAAACTGTAATTCTAACATATCAACATCACCTTAGGTCCAAATATAACTTCTATAAATGTTTACATACATTTGCATACAAGAGATAAGTCTTGCTAATTATCTAAAATAATTTGTGCAAGATAAAATCATGGAAAAATTCATGTAGGTTCTACTCAACAAATACATATCACTGTAATTTTGGTACAATTTAATAACTAAATTTGATACCTCGAATAAATCAGTCAAACCAGTCAAATATTAGATTAATTATAATTCTCAATTGGCTAAAACCACACCTTGTCTAAAAGTACATTTACCTGCGTGGAAGTGTATAAGGAAAATAATTTATTCAAATACTAGGTTAATTATCATGAATAAATATATTTTTTTTCAGAATTTATCTTCTCTGTTTAGGTCTCCTAAAAATTCAAACTAGTATCCAAAGGGCCCAATTTCTTCTAATTTCTGTGAGTAATCTATCCATAATTTTTAAGTACAACCAAAAAAAATGAAAACTAGGTACATTCATATAACTCCAGTAAAATCCACATGAGCTTTTCTGCACTACAAATTAATATATGAATTAACAAAGATGGAGAAGAGAAATAATCCTGAAAATTCGTCCAAAACCGTGTTCGCCCAGAATCTTACCCACACCTCTCCCTTCCACCTAGAGCACTTCGTCCTAGACCCACTTGGCAGTGACCTGGGCTTGCCCTTTTCTCTGTCCCTCACCCTCAGCTGACCAAGAACACAGAGGGAGAGATCGAGCGTGTCGACGCGTGGTGACGACGTGTCGACGCCTTCAAGTCAAGCCTCCATCTCCTCCAGACCGAGTCGCCCAACTCCACACATCACTCTGAGGCTGAAGGAACCGAGGGAGTAGGTCCTCTGCCTCTCCGCTGCTCTCATCTTCATCACCGGCCGCGGGAGAGACGACCATCGCAATTGCCGATTGAGTCAAGGTCACCTCCATCTTTTTCGTGTTCCCATCTTTCCACACAACGCCGAGCATTTTCTCTGTTGACCACCATTCGTTTTGTGCATCACAGCCACCGGAACGCAAGCCACGCCGACGATGCCCTGGAGCACGCACCGGAGCGCCGCCGCTTCGGCATCATCGTCGTCTGGCCATCCTCGTTCATCTCGAGCCAAGCCGCTGTTCCGCAAAGATTGCCTAGGCTTCCTCCTCAAGACACCCCAAGAATCACCACCAGAGACACTAGGAACACGGAGAACACATCCTTTTCTTCCTCGTCGCCGATCTGAACCCGTCGCCATCGCCATTGTCAATTCCTTCCACTCCGGTGAGCTATAGTCCGATTCTTTGTGTACACACCATCTTTGGGACCTCACGAAACTCTTGGACACACATGCATGGCAGGTCCTTGAGCCATTCGAGCCGACGTCGTTCAACCCCGGAGAAACGCCGCCACTAGAATGATCCGCAAGCCGTCGCAGCCACCAAGACCTTAACGACCTCGTCTGAGCCCTCGGTGAGCACCCTGGAAACTAGGAGACCACATGCATGCACACTAATTGCTAGGATCTGGACTCTACACCCAAGAACCACCGCCGCTCGCGCTGCCGTAGCCGTTGATTCCGGTGAACATTGCTCACAATAAGACCACCATTAGCTTCGCCCAAAACTCCTCTACATCTTCTGTTTAGGTTTCATGCCGAGATTTTCCACCATTCACCGCCGGCGAGCTCGAGAACGAGCTCGGCCATGGCAAGCTCTGTATCAGCTCAAACCAAGGACCTCACTTGAGAAGAATCAAAACTCTGGGTGCTATTTTGTAAAACCTACCTCACACACAGAACAATCACAGGACTGCGGGTTGATTGCCTAAAGCCCTAGGGACCTTTTTGCATATTGGCCAGGGCTGACCAGTGCACCCATCCCTTTTAAAAATTGGAAAATATAAAGAAAATCATCTAAGCATTATAATTTCAACAGGAAAACATCCAAAGTTGTAAAATCCATATAAAATCAAATATAGCTCATTTTGAAGTGATTCCAGTTGCTTTAGAGTCACAAAGTTATGACCTTTATTCCAGGAATATAAAACTTGACACTCACTGTACAAACTTTGTCTCTAAAATTTATCTAAGTTAGGTCATACGTAAAGCATATACAAACTTATAAAATGCATAGAAAATTCAATTTAACTTATTTTGAAACAAACTCAAATTATACAGATTCATCATCATGCACTCTCTGATTAGGTAAAATAAAAGTAATTACTTACTTTGTACCAAATGCCTCTAAAATTGTTATCTTTAAAATAACTAGTTTTACATAGACTGAACTTTAGAAGTTTATATAAAATTCATCTTAGATCCTTTTTGAGTAAACCCAAGTTCTGAAGAATCACCAAAGCATATACTTCCAAGTTATAAAATAAAATTATATACC